TCATAAACCGTTGTGGGGGCTGTCAGACACTATTTACCCTTTGATCGTGCAAACAGTAAAGTATTATTTTCGAAATGATTGATAGTACATTTCCTGAACATTTCCACCCCATATGCACAAATGACCAATAATAATCAACGGTGTTACAGCGGCCATCGTTGTAAATTCAAATTGTTTCGAATATGCAATACTGATACACACGCCATTATTTTGCAATTCTAAAATACATACGTCAATATACAAGGTGTGTTTTGGCAATAATTGTAACTATTTTATTTCTCAGTACGACTAGATTAAGAAAAATTATATTGAAAATATTTTAGTTATGAAATGTACTACTTCACTTTCGTTTCATTTGAATAATAACTTAATTCCTTTAATCTATTTATTAAAAATTTGTTTTGGCTCTAAGATAACGATTACCTTGTAAATAATTAAATAATGCATTAACCCTCCTATAATATCTGCTTAAAATAATTAACATAAAACGAAATATAGATAAAAGTACGAATTGCCTTGGTAGTTACAATATTATTGAAGTTGAATTGAATTTGATTTAAAAACAAATGATTTTCTTTACTAAAAATAAAAATTGCCAATTGTAGTATGGCTCACATATATTGTAATTCACTAATAATTTTAAAAACGTAATTTGTAAAACTTCTGTTATATATTTTTAATAAAAGTGGTGAAATAATAATTTGAAAATTTTATAATTTTACTTACCAATAGGCACGAAAACATTTAGATAAAGACAATCTTCGCTGGTTTCGAACGTTTGGTTAGAGATTATTTTTAAGAAAGGCATATCCTGTTTATTAATATCCTTTTCAGTTTGCAAGCAAGCCGGAGCAAATTGAGTGGCATTTTTGATATCGTCCCATGAAGGTAAAGTATTTGTTACAGGTGGGGCAAATCGCAAATTTTCGAGCGGTGGTTGAGCGTAGGGGATACCCAAAAATGCTAAAATCGTTTTAGTCCTTATCATTGATATTTCTTTTCCCATTATGGTGCCTTGACTTGGTATATCGACAGTTGGTGGATCACGACCAAAGCATGGACAAAAAATGAACAGATGTATGATTATTAACCGGCACATAATGTAAGCTGGAGAACAGAAATCTGAAGACTAAATTCACATTCAGTCAGTGCACGGAATTTAGAAATGTTGCGTGATTATTTCCCTCTAAGCACTCATGCAACCCCAGGCTATAAACTTCGATCAATTTCGGAACAGTGCTTATGCAAAAAATATATGGTTTGCTTAAATGTAGTAGCCTATTCACATCTTTAGGGGGTGACGTCTTGTTAGGGTGACCTAACAAGTGTAAATGTAATCGACAGCGACCTACTTTTTTATTCAGTAATTAATTATTTTTCGCTAAGGGTTCAAAAGAGATTGCTTTGATTTTTCTCGCACCCTCGCTTTTGTCCGTTTTTTACGATTAAAAAGTACAAAAGAAGAACTATAAAGCTGAAGAAAACTAGTTAGTAATTGTATTAGTATATAGTCCTAATTTAATAAAATCCGTATATCGAGTAAAGTACCACTCTTCTACATAAATAGTTTCTCATCAATGGTATAATTTATTAGATAATGGACCAACAACGCCGAATGGGGAAAAGTATTTTTAGTCCTTGATTAAATTACTAATCAACTCTCAGTGCCCAAGTATATTAAAANAATTTACACTATGAAACCTCAACAAGAAAACAGGAAATTTATATATTTCTTTTTTCTTTTATCGTCACTATCAATATACTAAAGCAGATCCCCTCTTTTACTCTTATCGTCAATAGAATCAATTTGTAGTCGAGTTAAACAAACTTGATTAATCACATTTATTAAATTTTACACATTCACATATTCCAAATTTTAACGGAAATTCTAATACACTGTTACATTATTAAAAAAAAACTTAATATCTGACTGAGGCATCAAATACAGTACAAACAGTCCCCGTAATTCACATCCGCAGGAAAATGTTTAGGTTAGGATTGCTCAAGAGTTGCAACATCTACGTGATGTACAATCATCTAGACCAATTTTGAAGGGCTTTTGAGGTGAACAATCGTATAAAACACAACTGGTCCACAAACAACATGGCGTTTATGTTAGGCTAGGAAAAGTTGAGGAAAAGCCATGTACTACTTCTCATATTTACAATAACATGAAAATTTCTAATATATTTTGTTTGTTTTTTAAAAAACTTTTTTTAGCATTTTTTGCATTAAAATATTTTAAAATAGTAAGTTTCACTATTATTTTTTCAATAATTTGGCTTTTTTTACTTTTGAAAAATATAATGTGTTATTATTTTTTGTTAATTATCTTAATGTTTTATTTAAAAAAATATCCCGATTTCATAAATACAGTACATTCTAAATTAATGGGTATATATAAAAACCTATGAATTAAGATTAAGATTTTATACATATTATTTATTGCATAAAGGAAGTATACATACAAACTATACTACAAGGTTTATTTTGTTGATGTAGAATTTATTAAAACATTAAAAATTGGTACAAAAAAGAAAACATTTTCATTAATAAGTGTAGGAAGATACAGCTTTTCACCTATCGACATACTGATATGTTTGAAGATTGTCATCATTGCAGTAAGGGTGCTTGTATTGTTTTGTTACTTGATAGTACAAATGTAGGAAATTATGTACAGTACATTCATTATTAACTATTACTTTTTAAAGCGTTAAAAATTTTTGTATTTTTCATTTAATTTTCCTTAATTATGTATATACTATTAAAATATCTACAGGGTGGCTCATGATAAGGATTTTCCAAAAAAGCAAAACATCCAAAACTATAACAATCATAAACTATGCACATATTCATTAACTGAATATTAATTAATTGTCAAAACTACTCGAAGTAACAGTGCAGCTTTGCAATTGTTGCAATAAACCACGTATT